TTTTTAAGGAAAGGATAATATACTGTTTAGGAACAAAAGGAAAATAAGCTTTTAAAATATAATCTTTTTACAGTTTGATAAGTAAAACCATCCACCTTCCCTATAATGTAATCACTATTTTTATTTTAAACCAGTTCAAACTGGCAACCATGTTTTTCTTTACTGTCACTTTGTTCAACAAAGATAGTTTAAAGTATATGGCAGCTTTGGATTCACTGCAGTAAATGGCAAACTGGTTTGCATTCAGATCCATGTCAGTGTATCTTTGTCCAAATTATCTATGCATATAGTAGATAACATAGCTGCAATTACAAAATGTAACTCTTATGGAAATAGTGTGTAAAGATAAAACTACTGTAGTTTTACTGGAGCCTTACTGAGGCTATAAAGAAAAAAATAAGTTGAGTGTATTAAGGTTTTTGCTCACGAGAAAAAGAAAACACAGACAGATAAAGTGGCTCCCACCAAAACAACAGCAAACAGCAATAAGAGCACAAAGATTTGACTGCGCTGGCAAAGAGGCTGATGTCCAGGCTGCTCCTCGTCCACTGTGAGCAGACCCAGAGAGGCGCTGTCGGTGCTGCTGAGCGGCTCTGCATACTGTGGCCCATGGGGCTCCACCATCCAGCGCAACACGTTGACTTTCATCTCCATGTCATCGATCATGTGGTTAATATGGCTGATCTCCTGCTCCATGGTGCAGCGCTCCTGGCTCTCCAGCCCATCAGGGAGGTTTGGGCTCTGAGCTTGGTTCAGGTCTGGTAGACTGAGTGCCCGGGCTGCCACCTCAGTGCCTCCTCCTGCATCACCAAAATTAAAAGTGGTGAAATAGTTTCACTTTTCAGTCAGTCAAACATGATTGGACTGGTTCTGATGCTGTAAAAAAACAATGCAACCTAATATAACAGTCCTGTAATTAATCCAGTCCAGTCAAAGGAAGAACATTTGTTGGCAGTGTACATTTCTGCAAATCACAAATAGGTTACGTCTGACGTGGTGTATGAACTGGCTTTGTCATTGGGAGGTGGAGGTGATTGTGAATGGCATGTCACCTGAGCAAGACACCTGTCAAGCTGTAGACCACTGCAGGCCACTCTTCCAGACAACAAATGGCAAAATCACTTGTGATTTAGCTAGTCATTGTTGTTTTTTCTGTGGCTTTTTAGGCATCAAACATGGATGTTATGCAGTGACATGTCCCTATGTTTCCAGTGGCTTTTTAGGCCCCAAGCATGGGTATTTTGTAGTGACCAATCGTTGTGTTTCTAGCAGCTTTTTGGGCACCAAATGTGGGTGTAATGTAGTGACATGTTGCTATGTTTCCAGCTGATTTTTAGGCATCAAACATGGGTGCAACATGTCCCTTTGCTTCCTGTAGCTTTTTAGGCACCACGTATAGGTGTTTAATAGCAACACATCACTATGTTTCCAGGGGCTTTTTAGACACAAAATGTAGGTGTAATCTAGCAACATGTTGCTGTGTCTCCAGCAGGTATTAAGGCACCAACTGTGGGTGTTACACAGCAGCACGTCCCTGTGCTTCCACTGGCTTTTTAGGCACTAAACATAGGTGTTATGCAGCAGCACGTCCCTGTGTTACCAATAGGGATTGTGGCACGAAAAGTGGTTGTTTTTTCAACAGAGACACTGCTGCTTTTACAGCGGGAATTGTGCCCCCAAAACCTGGTATGTCAAGCTAAAACATGATCTTTTCCTAACCATAATTAAATGTTTTTTGTGCCTAAACCTAGCCGCACATTAACCACAGTGTTGTTGAAAAATACCTGCTACTGTACATAATAATATGCAAATGTAACATATTCATGGTTTGCAGAAACATACAATCAACCTATTTCTTTTTTTGGCGATTGGATTTATAAATCATATCTTCATGAAGATGTTCACGTGTTTCTACTATTTTCTATCATTCATATCAATGAGGTTGAATAACAGAGATCAGTGTATAATGCAATATAGTCCAACAACACTACAAAGCACATCCTCAAAAATGACCATACTCATCCCTTTAAAATAGTCTCAAGAAAAATTGGAACATTATAATCTTCATAAAGGTAGGATTTATTGCATGACTGTTATTAGTCTGCATCAGTTGTAGCTAGGTGTAACTATCAAAGTGTATATAACCATATGTTGACAAAATCTGACCTATTGTTACCAGTTGTTTTTCTTTGGAAAGTCTAATGCCTGCTCAAGAAGCACCCATGAAATCAATATAAGAATTGCATAATTATGATGTTAGATGAACACTTTCATATCAGACTGTTCACACATTTATGTAGAATCAAATACATATTCAAGAGGTTTGTATCAGCTACTTACATGTATGTGTTTCCCCCCAAATATTACAGTGCATGGGGGGATATCACTGCAAGATACACAAATGATCTTTTTGCCACTCATTATCATCTCAATGAATCACGAAAAGAGTTACTATAAAGAACTATATTGGGGATTACTATAATATGTGTTGTAATTACCTACAAAGTTTTCATACTGGATGCTCAACTAAGATTTCATTTTACATTATTTACCTGATGTGCTTCCCTTGACTTATCTACCTCTACTATTTGCATTAACAAAAAGAGTGGCAGGGCTATAATTTACCTTGTAGGCCAGTTTGCACCAGGGTATTAGTGTTAGCCAGAGAGACGATGTCCCCTATGTTGAAAACTTTACACATATCAACATGTAGGAGCTCTAAGCTGGAGGAGAAGGCCACCCAGAGGAGCTCCATCTCCTTGCGCTGCTCCTCAGGCAGGCTCTTGTTTCGGAGGTGTGAGGTGAGATGACTACAGATGGCCATGGCCAACGTTTGGGCCTTCTCTCGTGTTTGTCGCAACTCATCCCGGAGCTGCAAGCTGTCTGTGCACCCACCAACACATGAGGCCAAGTGCCGATAACATGCCACCACCTGTATGGGGAAAAGAAATAAAAAAGATTTAATCAACTGATATGTAACTGCAAGCCTTGAGTAAAAATGTTTTATTAATAGACGTAAACTTAGTCCTGGAGGATTAGCAGGTGTGGTTTCAATGAAAAATATTACAATTAATCTCATTACCATTGATCTATTTCTAGATAAGCCAAAGCAACCTTGTCCGAACAGAGCATGGGTAGATGAGAAGGGAGCACGACAATGACAACAACATATGCTATATTGTTTATATTACTTGTGTACTGTATGTATTAATTGACATTTAGAACTTTCCATATGTTGTTAGTACATGACTTAAACCTGCATATCAAACAAATACTGAGTCAGTATTGAGCAAAATGTGATTGTAAACTACCACTGTGTCACTGTGCAAAACATATGACATCGTATAAATTAATTAAAAGAGATTTACAGCTATATTTTTATAGTAAACTACAGTTAAAACTGCTTCCCATCAGCCAAAATGCCAGGCATGGCCATGGCGTTATCTAACACAGATACTGGAATGGTTACAAAGATGCAGTGGACCAAGAAATTCTTTTCAGTGAGAGTGCTTTTTTAGCCACGGGGGAGAAAAAAAGGATGCTTAGATGTCTTGTGTATGTTTAGTCTGTGAAATATTAACACAAGGGTTAAAAAAGGGTTAAAAAATGATGTAATTATTGCTGATGCAATACATATTCAACTTTTTGTAACACTTTAATTCAATATTTAACTTTCATTTTGTAAACAATTCACAAGTAAAACATTTGCTGAGAAAATTACTGAGTAAGAATGCTTAAATCAATCTCAAAGGTGTTTTATGACATTACATTTTTTAAAAATGTATTACATGGCAACCTGCATCTGCTTATTCAACTGTAAAATCAGCAACAAAGTTTAACTACAGTACAGCAGAATTGCACCACTACATTCTGTATGTCGGTCACACCATCAATAAAAACTGTTAACACACACAGCAGCTTACCTTTATCAAAGAATCCACCTGAGCCTTTCCATCAACCAAAGCCTTATCTGTGCCAACTGTGCAATCATCGCCGACTTTGTTATTTACAAGTGGCATGAGGATGACTTGTCCAGAGTCTCAGACTCTGCCACAGCAGGCAAGATTTCAGCCCAGCTGCCCTTCACTTCTCTGGCTGCCCCTGCTCCTCTTCCTCCCCTGGAAGATGCTTCATTCAATGGCCGATGGTTGAGATGGACTCAGTCCCAGAGCCGCATGATGCGCTGCAATATTCCACTCCAATGAAGAAACTGCAATTACAGGTGCTAAGCATGCTTTGGAGGCTGAGAAATGTCCCGCAGAGAGCCAGAAGTGGGAAAGTCTGGGGGGAAAACGGTAATAAATTGATAGAAGTCTTAAGCAAGGTGCTAATCCTGTGATTGACCCCTTTGCACTGACGAAGGTCAAGACGAACAGCTAATCTCATTAACTATCACTGAGACCAGAGAGAGAGAAGAGCAGCTGGCTGTCTCCACTACAATTGCCCTTTCACTAACTGAGAGGAGGCTGTGTTCTGTTACATCACACACACACACACACCACACATGATACACCTCATTTACTCAACTGTAAAGGTAAAAATGCTACAAAACAGATGCTTTATAAGCATGCAGGAAATATTACTTGTCTTATATTGTATTGCGGAAGAATGAACAGATTTTGCTGATAAAGGGACAAATAAGCAAATGAAATAGTGATGCACTTAAGAATTTTAAATTGTACATGGGTTCTTTGTCCTATCAGCATCCTTTATGGTTTACCGCCCCTCGGGCTGTAGGTAATGGATGGCCTCATTTAACCAGGTTGATATGTCTCAGTGTGTTCAAAGCATGAACTCTCTGGCGTGATGTTTCTATAGCGGTGTATGTATGCATGTATAACACGGTTTCTATGTGGAAAATGCACATTATAAGAAATGAAACCACACATGCGTATGCTGTGGTCATGACATGACATCATACCAGTGGAGCTTTGAGTAGAAGTCACAATAATTGGAGGAACTGATGATGTCAAAGAGCAGATAAATGGAATTAATGCTGATAAGTTTGAGCAATTTAATTTTATTAAAACAAACATAAATATATAAAGAAACATATCGACCTGAATAAAATAATGTACCCTAAAACTGTCCATACGTTTTAAAAATCTCTTGGCTTGGCTTTTTAGTGGTGTACATTCCTAAGTGTTTTCCTGAGCGTTCGGCTGGTCGCTCCCTTCCGTGGAGAGGTCACCGCCTCCCTGATGTTGGCAAGCAAGCCTCGCTTGGTTTTGGGCTGCACAGGAGACTTCTGGGAGAGCTTGGCAAGTTCTGTCTTTAGCAAGGAAATCTCCCTGTCTTTGTCGGCAATCTCCCTGTCCTTCTCAACATTCTGCCGCAGGATGGCCTCCATAGATTTTGTCTTAATGGGAACAAAAAAGAACAAACATTCAAATGATTGTTTTATTTGTGCCATTTGAGGTTGTTTTTCATTATTTATGTGCCACTCACTTATGTACCCCGACTTTGAATCCCCTCACCTGATCATCAGTCTTCTTCTGCAGAGTCTCCAACTCAGCCGACTTTTCCAGGAAGTCATCTCTGAACTGCTGAAGTGTTTTATTAAGCTCCATCAGCCTTTTCTCCAAGGACAAAATCAGCTGAACCAAACAAATGTAAAAAATCAGCAAGTGATCACATGACTAGACTGGGACGATATTTAATTGAGATACATGATAAAAATGTTCTCCTTGTTACCTGTTGTTTATCCTCACACATCCTCTCGATGGCACATTTTTCTTTGTAAAGCCATTTGAATCGATCATCCCCTGTGGAAAAAAAGTGGTATTTAATGCCCTTACAACAAAAATGGTTGGGAATTTGCTTTGGAGAGCTCAGTAAAAGACAGACAGCGTATTAATATCATAAATAAATAAATAAATAAATAAATAAATAAATAAATAAATACAGAACCACTCATTGATTCCCGAGGGCTGTTCCTGCCAAAAGAAGATGCTAAGCTATATGTATGAATCGACAGTATGCTAACCTGCTGCTTCGGTCCCTTTAGATGGCTGAGTCTGGCACGACTGGTCCACTGTTGGAGCTGCACACACTCCTCTGATACTTGACTTTAAGGTCTCCAACTCTGACACTTTACGTTTCAGGACCTACACAGTTGGTGAGAGACAACATGTAAGGTTTCATTGATGATCCAAAAATCTGAGATTTCTGATGGCATAACGTGACAAAACCTGATTACTATGAAGCCGTTGTGACTATTTGCAATTTAACAACTGAATAAAGCTATGGGAGTTTGAACAGTGTATGACTGCATAACATATCTGTCAACTCAGAATTGAAACGGACAAGTTTTTTGCTTTAACTCATTATTAATAGGTCCAGTGTCTAGGATTTAGGGCAGGGGTAGGCAACCTGTGGCTCCGGAGCCACATGTGGCTCTTTAGCCCTTGTCCAGTGGCTCCTTGAGCCTTTGAGAAAAGAAGTCTATGGAAATTCATTCTATGAATCCAAATGTTACTGAACCTCGATAGCAGTGGCTGGTTAGCTATGGATGCCAAATCCAAAACAGTAAATTGAATAAAATAGAGAATGTAGTAGTGCGTGGACAGATTTGTTTGCTCTCACTGCCAGCTCTGCAAAATTTAAGTACCAGATAATTATTAATAGTGCCCTGCACAGTGTCCACCTTGTGGTAAAACATATTAACAAATGCTTATTTAGACCATAAGTATACGCTAATTTAGACTTAATAGGCTATTTACCTTGATTATAAGGCTCAAACATGTTTTGCGGCTCCACGCAGATTTTTTCAAATTATTTTTGGTCAAAAATGGCTCTTTTAATGGCAAAGGTTGCAGACCCCTGATTTAGGGGAATGTATTGGTAGACATGGAATATTGTCCAATACATATGTTTTTGTTTAGTGTATAATCACCCATTTCTACAGTAGCCCAGTATGGACAAACCAAACACTGGCTCCAGACAGGGCCCCACCGTGGCATGAGCAACAGAAAAACGGTTTCTTTTTAACACGAAAACTGCTTATTCAGTGTTTTTACTGGTTTAAATCACCTGGTCCATTTGTTTTAGAGAGGAAAAGACCTCTGGGAATAACTCGGCTCCAAGTACACACCTCCTAAACAATGAACACTGAAGGAATTCTAACCTAGAGAAGTTTCAGCTGGTTGCAATCTGCAATCCCTACCACTAGATGCCACTAAATCTTACACACTGTTCCTTTAAGTAAATGTTGATTGCACAGTGTAAAGGCTTTAGAGTAATAACACCATCTGGGTTTAGATTAGTTAAATATGAGCCTCACTTTCAGTGTTTGATTCTGATTGCAACTGAAATGAAAGCTTGATTTATGGCACAAAGGAAGTGCAGAAAGGAAGCGTTTTTGTTTTTTCTTCTGGTACCTATACTCCGTGACCAAAGAGTATCAATATAAGTTATCTGCAGTAACTATCCCCAGTAGCAGAAATGGCAGATGACAAAACAAGGGAAGCTGAAACTGTGTGGAAACTGTGGTAGTTGTTAGGCTCTGAGGAAAACAAAATCTGGTTGTTTTTGTGACAGTGACACTAACATAGATGAATTACTAAATGGGTCTGCCGGGCACTGGCCCAGGGGCCCAAAATGTCAGGGACCCCCTGGGCTTCACCTGCAAAATGTCACTCAAATTAACAGGTGCAAACCAGGAAGGGACTCAAAATGGCCTTAAAGGGATAGTGCACCCAAAAATGACAATTCAGCCATTATCTACTCACCCCCATGCTGAGGAATGCTCTGGTGAAGTTTTAGTGTCCTCACAGCCCGACATGTCTGAAGACTTTGAAATTGAGGAGGAACAGCATTTCTTTGTTGAGCCGTATTTGTTTGAGCCCGAGTATACGGACGGAACTCAGGCTACTGGACGAAGCAGCCGCCGCAGCTCATGAGCCTAACCCTCAGCCAGCCGCAGAATACCGAAGTCGAGCACTGGAAACCTGGTGGTGTAGTTGTTTCAAATGCAAAGCAATGCCAACGGATGAGGAAAGTCTTCTCTGCTCAGTCTGCAGTCTGCTCAGACTGGGAATTGGCGATGCCTGCACTTGAGAATCTGGACATCAGTACTAACGAGACTGCTGCTCTTCAGAGACTGTGCATCACCGATCACCCTGAGCACGCACACGTGAACGCGGAGCACAGAGAAGCAGTCAGAGCTACAGGCTACAGTGAGGCTAAAAACAGAGTTCATATGACGTTTTTCGAAACAACTTTTTATGTTGCAGCTTCAGGACACTTGGATCACTACGGATGGGCATGTTGGAGATAATTTGTGGTTTCAATTTTGTGTTCTTGGATGCTAGCTGCTCCGCCCGCCGATCTCCCCAAGGGATGTGAGGACTCTAAAACTTCACCAGGGTCTCTGTCGGCATATGGGTGAGTAGATAATGGCTGAATTTTCATTTTTGGGTGCACTATCCCTTTAAGGAGATGCAAAGAAACTGCAAAGAGATACACAATAACAACAAAAATGGGCAAAATGACTATAAAGAAACATTTAACGACCAAAAAAGACACAAAACTACCTCAAAGAGATACAAAAGCACAAAAAGATGCTTGAGAACTGCAGAGAAACATAAAGCAACAACAAAAAAGAGGCAAAACTGCCACAGTGAGATATACCTTTTGCATAACTCAGCCCAGGGGCCCTCGGGTACCAACAATAACACCACTTGAAAATGTTAGGTGGGCGAGTTTTTCTTGACCTGGTGACAGCTGATTAAATGACATACCTCCACTTTCTCCTGTTCGGCAATGAACTCGTCCAGAGGTACGTAGTCATCTTCCAGATTGTTCATAGCACTCTGGTAGGCATGCTCTTTGATAGCATCCTTGTACATCTCAAAAGTGTTCTCCAGCTTCTCTTGGTAGCTCTCCTTCAGCTCTTCTATCTGTCGACTAAACATTTAAAGCAAACCTCATCCAACAAGTCTGGTTACATCCTTAACAAGAGATTACATAAGCAGAATGTTGCTGAAATGACTGCTGATCTGTTGGCATACAATACCAGAGATTCATTACCAGCCTTCCTCTGCAGATGACAAGGAAAAGTAACCTACCTGCGGAGTTCTTCACTCTCCATGAGCTGCTGTAACATGGCATCTCCCATTTCCTTCCGGATCTCCATTTCCTGAACCAGGTTTCTTCGTCGCTCAGCCAGGAGTTTTGTTCGTAGGTTTTCAATCATACTCACAAGCTCCTAGAAGAGTAGAACATTTACTGGAGATCCACACAGTGTATCTTGTAATGACTGAAGGTTAAATATTTAAATAGTTAATAAGTTAACTACTGTATTTGATGAGTAAAAACTACCACTTATCAAATTTGAATAACTGAATAAATGGAGTCTAGAGCCCTGCGAGCATGAGGTTGTATTTAAGTGTAGCTATGCTGAATGCTAAAAAATGAATGTCAACATGTTCACAATGACAATGCCAACATGCTGATATTAAGCAGGTAATATTACATTCACCATCTTAGTATGGGGTGTTAGCTCACTAATGTTTGCTAATGATCACTAAACATGAAGTACAGTTGGTGCAGATGCAATGTTAGTTTTGTGTATTTGGTCAAATTAAAAATTTGACCTGAAAATGGAGCTAGATGAAGCTGGCATCGGGACTTCTACATTGAGAGACGTTAGATTTTGGTTGGACTGAAACTTGGTTTACGATATTTTAAATGTCTAATGGCATTAGAGTGTTAACATTATGATGTTTTGCAGGCGTTGGGTTTTGGACTCCACACCTCACGACCAAATGTCGTTATTCTACTTCAAGATGATGTTGGGATGTTTGGAAAATGTTGGATTTAACTTTAACAGCACAACATAAACAAAATATTAACATCATTTGTCATTAGTATTCTACGTCAGATTGATGTTGGCATTAGACACAGTCCCAATTTTGACATCGCATCCTAAATTTTACCACATATTGTCTGACAACATTGTTGGCCATATATTAAAACCGTGTTTGAATGTGATATGGAGCAGTAGTTGTACATTCTGTGGCAGCAAAGTCATGTCTCCCTCATCTTCCTCATCAAGCAGCTCCTCCTCAGACAGGTAGCTCTCCAGGGCCTGGCTGTCGATCACCCCATTCCTCAACAAAGGTTTGCCATCATGGCCGACCAAACAAGGAGCCAGAGATTCCAGAGGCTTATCTGGGATCACCTGCACAACCTACAAACAGCACGGTAAGATTAGTGGTGTTTGAGACGCAGCTGATTGTCACGCTGCCTCTCACCCCATTATGTATTCAGACTAACCTGTCTGGCAACAGCAGAGAATTTCATAACGTGGAGAGTCTCATCGTAGGTGGAAGCACACTGGTTAATGTTCACAATCATCGACGCTCGTCCTTTGCCACAGAAAAAAGCCTGAAAGAGCTTGGTGAGCTTACTCTCTCTGAAAGGAATGTAGCTGCTCTTCATTCTGACGAACAACACAGACAAAAAACAGACTTCAACAATGCAAACTTGCTCTCCTTTTATATCACCACCTGACACATTTGGAAGAAACTGTACCGGTCAGTCTGATTGTTGCGAAGGGCAGTGATGCACTTCCCCAGAATGAGCAGGGAGTTGTTTATGTTCCCTGCCTCCTTCAGCCTCTCTCCAAACGTCTTGGTTTTGTTGCATCGTTCTGAGCCAGCCAGGTCACACAGAGAAAACCTGAGAACACAAATCAATTTAGAAGTTATTTTCTGTATCACAGCATCTTTCATGATGCTATCAGAGTGGTTATTCAAGCACAAACTTCTGAGCAGTAAGGGCCTCCTCTTTGCATTTTTCAACTTAAAATTTATGCTTTCCTTTTCAGTTGCTAATGAACACCCTTTGAGCTGCGTTCTTCGTTATAGAGATGCTGTATGAATTACATTTATTATTATCATCATCACGACTGCATTATGCACCATATTGGCACCATCTTCAAGCATTTCACAGTGATGCACAAATGCACACATGGACATTTAAACAAGGAGTTGTAGATGTGCTTCTCTAATGCACACACATTGACATGATTTAAGATTAGCTGATACTCTCAAGTTTATATTTTCACTGGCAAATGTTGCTTTGATTTTGTGTTTGGTTGCATTTTTAATTAAAAAAAGGGGCAGTTCACCCCTAAATCAAAAATACATATTTTCCCTTTTACCTGTTGTGCGATTTATTAATCTAAATTGTTTTGGTGTGCGTTGCTGAGTGTTGGAGATATGAACTGTAGAGGTGTATGCCCTCTCTTTAAAATATGGAACTAGATGGCAGCAGTGTCTCTTTCCAGAAATCATGACCAGGTTACTCAAAATAATCTACAGATTTTGCTGGGAGCAGTGTCAGTTAGGGACCATTTTCTAACTTTGTTGGACACTGTCTCCCATAAGTGATGATCCAACAAGCTGACAGAGTAAGCATGGAGCCAACACTGTAACTAACAGCAATCCCTGAAGAAATATTATCATATTTTTTGAAAAATGAAAGTGATTCCAGAGAGAAGCAGACAGAGGGGTCTACAGTCTGTGTTTGAAGGATATATCCAGGAAACTGCCTCAGCAGAAACAACAGGTTAAAAAGACAAAGATATGATACATTATGAATTCAGTTCTTTCGTGTTTTTAGATCATAATTTAATAATACTTACTCTGAGATCCTTTTAACTGTACTGCCATCGATCTTCAGTAACTTCATAGTGAATATACTGTGGCTGTAATAAAAAAAAAAAAAAAAAAAAAAAGCTGGAGTGAATTTTGGAAACAGAAAATGACACCAAGTAAAGAATGTGATGAAATGAAACATTTACCTTCTGCTCGATGACTGGTTCATCTTTGTGGCTGCAGCACTTCTGTTTTTGTTTCCGAACTGCAGTAGCTTAGAGGCCTCACCCAGGGTCTGGATGTTAATCCACCTGAGATCTGAAATTATTTAAAATGCACCTTGTTCTTTAAATCAATTTTAAGCTTTTAAGTGGCATAAAGGCTTTTGCTGGTATGTTTCTACCAGCTTAGGAAGACATGATGAAGTTACACTCACACCTTTGACATAAGCATTTCCAGCACCGTCGTCACACACTCGCAGAGCAGCACGTTTCTTGGACTTGGAGCACAGCGAAGGTTGAAGCAGATCATACACACACTCATTGTAGATTTCAAAGAATGCCACCCATAATGCAAACTGGCTGCTGCCTGCTTCTGTTGGGTTGCTTGCCAACACTAAAAAGGAGAATACGGAGAGGCCAGTGAAAGCCAAAGAATGAAACAGAAACATATGAGCAAGAAGTGGTATCAGGCATAATGACATCATTACAGGTCACTCCTCTTGCCTGAAATCCTGCAGTGACAGTTTATCACTTCCCTAAATGAGCGCACGCTAGGGATTACTGCAAGCATATACTGCTTTTAAGATGCAAGACGATGTGTGTTCAGTGTGTAGAATCAGTGAGGGTTACCGGTTTGATCGTAGGACAAAGAGGAGAATGAGAGGCCGCCAGTGGAACAGGACAGGGACTCTGAACCTCCACTGGCTCTGAGGGGATCAAACTCCTACATGGGAGCAAAGACACATGCATGTTATGGTATTAATTTAAAACTCTTAGCAATATTTTCTGGGAAAGCCTGAGGAAACTTCTCAAATTGGATAGAATTCTCTCGCCTCTTTGACTGAAGCAATAATGGCAGCTTTAATGCTTCTCTCCTGCTTGACTTGGTCAGGATCAAGACACTGTGCATCGTTCCTGAGGTAGGGTTTCAGGTCCATCCCCTCATACTGACGGCCTCCGATGTAGTGGAAGGTGGCGTCCAGCACTTGAGGAAGTATTCCTGGCTCTTTTGGAGTTCCTTAAACATGTCACGACATATTTAAGACTTGCAGAAGAACTTATGACACTGACTAATGCTTATTCAAATGTTTTTCCATCTTTACCTTGGATTGTGTAAGTTTTCCCAGCATTGGTTACACCGTAGCTGAATATCAGCGCATTCTTCCCATCCAGGAAATCAGACATTTGGCTTTTGACAGTGTCCTCAAACAGCTCAGACTGTGTCTTTTCTGGTCCGAAAATCTAAAAAGCCAACAGAAACAGTGGTTGGTGCCTGTCTAAAATGCCACTAAGCTCATTCAGAATGTTTTAGGAATGAATGTGTACCAGGACTTCTTACATGTTTAAGCATATACGACTTATTTCAAATGTAGCAGACCTGTGAGAAGGAGAATTTGTGGAGTGACATGCCGACACCCTTCTCACTGGTCTTCATGGTGGCAGAACCCTTTGGTGCATTCAGTGTCACCATCTGGCTGTTTTCAATCACTACACAGTCCTGAGGGGAGAAAAAAAAAACACTGGTCACATTTATTGTCAAGATTATTATTAGCTACTGAATGACACCTTTCATATCCAGTACTGTACCTGATCCTCATTGTCGGAGAGCTCTTCTTTAGAGAAGGGCCTGACTCTGAGGTAAACTCTCATGGTCTGCTGCTCTGCACCACCTGCTTGTTCAGTCTACAAACACAGAAGACAATTAGACTAAACCTCAGTGCAGATTTTGCTCAAGATAATCTGCACAGGTATCCTTTGCCAGATTATTAAAAATCATGACACAATTAATCTATTTTGGGAATACGAAATGAAAGAGAATCTGAACTTTGTTACTATTTGGTGAAAATAAAAAGGGAATAAAACATTACCTGCTGGGTTGAGCTACTGCCCCGAGGAACATTACATGTCAAGTCCATGTCAACAGGCTCCATATTGATGCTGTCTTCACTGGTCACATTGATAACTGTACTCATCATGAGGCAACTCCAAAATGTCTACAAACTCGTGTGCTAATTCACAAGACACACTAAGAAAATCGATACTCTGAACAAATGAAGGCTTAACAGCTCCTGACTATTTGAATTAAAATTCACAAGAAATTCTGTCTTTAAAAATTACTTATTTCATCCACATGTAGGTCTGCTAATGTTCCTCCACTGCAAATCAAGAAGGAGCTTGTAATCAGCTGTGATTAAAAGCAGGTGTGAAGTCAAGCAGATCAACAGGAACAGCCATCCAGCTTAGAGGACTCAGGTTTTACTAAGTGAAACTTAATAGTGATATGTCAAAGGATAATCTGAGAATCAATCTCTGCAGTATTGACCAAAGATTTTTCTACAAAAAAGGAAATGAAGACCTTAGTTTTATCAATTAATATACCCCTAGAAAAATAGATAGAGCACATCCTTCCTCTAAGTTAAATGTATAAGCAATAAAATGCACCCTTGTTTGAGTCCATAAAATCAGGGGCCTCATTTTTAGACATGACATACGCACAAAAGGAGGCCTGAAAGATGCGTACGCCACCTCCCCATTTGATGGGAGAAACTTTGACCTCCGCTAACATTTTGTAGACAGGATATTGGCGAAGCAGATGGCGAGGTGGGAGCCTGATTGTAGACTGTTGAATATTGATTGGCGGACACCATTATTGGCTTTTATCTGTATGTACAGTTTTTAGTATGGATCCTATGCACTGTTTTACAAATGAGATCGCTGGTGTTTTGCTGCTTCAGTCTTACATGTCACCTTATGGTGGCTACAGCGAGGTATGGCTTTCAAACTGACATTACTACCTCAGTTTCCTGACTTGTGGTGATATTACTTCAGCATTCACTATTATCTTGTAATTGTCGCTTGGGGCCACTGTGACTGTAACTGACTTTTTAATGTCAGTTAATTCAGTGTGTTTGAATAAGAGTGACAGAAATACAAACAAAATTAAACGCGTCCCTTCCTCTTGGGTTAGAACAAAGTGTGCAAGTAAGGCTGTGTTTGGGGCACTTATTTTACAGAGACAAACATAAACTGGTTTTGGAAAAGCTTCAGAATAGTCTAGTCAGGCGGCTGTGGCTCAGGAGGTAGTGCAGGTCATTCACTGATTGGAATAATAGCAGTTCGAATCCCAGCTCATCCAGTCTGCATGTCGAAGTATCCTTGAGCAATATACTGAACCCCTGATTGCTCCCATTGGCTGTTCCATCAGTGTGTGCGTGCGTGTCAAAAACTGAGTAGCAGGTGGCACCTTGTTTAGTAGCCTCAGTCATCAGTGTATGAATGTGACTCGTAATGTAAAAAGCGCTTTGAGTGGTCTGAAGACTCTAAAGGCGTTATACAAATGCAGGTCTACTCATGTAGCATGTGGATATTAGGCCACTGTTTCTGCCATTTCACAATATTCATCCACATGTTAATTTTAACTCCAGGGACAGAAGGGCTTTGCAAAAATTTCAAACTGGTGAAAAACTGTAGAAAAGTGGACTTTAATCTTCTAGTGCAAGTCTGAGCACATTTATGCAGTAATCTACTTCTCATTAGCTCCACAGTCTGCATTGAAAGACTACAGAGATTGTGTTTAATTGTCAGATGTCCACTAACATCTCTACTTTGTGACTGTCTGGAAACAGTACTGTAGATTCAAGTTTTAAGCTGTTCCCAGTAAAAGGACTTGTCTCTAGTATAAATCAATGAACTTAGTCACTGACTTTTAACTAGCATTTGCTTATCCATTTATCATAAGTTGAACATGTTTGTTATGAATCTTACAGCCAGGGTATATTCTCAAATACTGGGTGAACTAACTTTGCCCAGAAAACGCCTTTTCATCTTTCTATAGGCTTAATTATCAAGGGGTCGTGTTGAATGGTGATTGAAAAAGATATGTTTGAATCAGTAGCATGTTTGTCACTTCATTAAAACCCATACTTTAGTATGTCGTTTGTAAAAGATACCCATATTTCCTCGACTCCCTTTACAGTGTAAAAATGTTCTGTGCTTCAGACATTCAGAGCCCACCCAATAACACCACATCAGTTTCCTTATTAATTTCTTTATTAAATCATCTGCACTGTTTATGCGTCTGCGATGGTAACTTCAACCTCAACACCTGGTTCAATGCTGATGGAGGTGATCTGCTTGACGATTTCAGATGGGCTGTGCAGATCAATCAGGCGCTTGTGGATCCTCATCTGGAAGCGATCCCAGGTTTTGGATCCTTCACCACAGGGGGTCTTTCTGGTGGTGATGCGCAGAGTCTGGAGGGGGAAGAAAGATGATTTTAGCTTGACTGAAATAATAAGAATCCAGAAAACCACATCTAAAAAAGTAGTAGTTCCAAATTCACACTGTATTCATACTGTCCCTGAGCAGTATAGAAGTGTGGGTGTACTATTTGCTCAGTCTCCAATTCACTTCTATTATAGCCTGAATGAAGAGCCAAATTCAAGCGTGTCTGTTCAGCTTTGTACTCACAGGTCAGAGTTCATCTTTCTTTAACTTTGAGAAAGGCCAATAAAAACACTGCCACACTGTCAGAAATGTAGAAATTCACACTACTATTCTAGCTTGATAACTTTGATCAGCATTTATGACTTGCATCAGAAATGTGACATGTTACCATTTTACAGAGCAGTGCAGCGCAGAGAAATTTCAGTCACTGAAGTGACTGTATAAGTGTCTCCTATATACAGTCTGGCAAAGCTCTGAAAAGAAATTGAGGTTTTACAAAGGAGAGAAGTGTGCATATGCTTTGACTTTACTTTAAATAAATCTTTTGCATCCAGCAGCTCCTTGACCTTTGTTATACTAACATAAAGCCTGATTGCTACATCTGATTTGTTGCCATTTATAAATAGCATCGAATTTAAGTTGGTAGAACAGATGGAGGGAGAAGCAGGTACAAAAATTAGGTTAATCATTTGTAAGAAACATGGCAGACAAATAAAATAAGTCATTAAGTTTAATCTGTGTTAAACATTTTGTGAATGTCCATGCTGGCTTTGTTCAAAAGTCTTTGAACACACCAGAATTAAATTTTTTGGTTTTGTTTGAGTAGGAGAAATGTCAGTACAGTCCACTTAAATATTAAAATTGGCGTGCATAATGAGTGCCCGTCTGTCCCTATCCCCAGACACCAACACGTGGCAGATGACAGACTCACCAATGTACATTACAACAGTAAATCCATGTCTTATACCAATGGGGTAAAGGGGAAAAAATACCGTCATGTACTTAAGTACCTTGGTAGGCATGCGGACGGGTCCCTTCACCTTCAGGTTCTTCTCCTTAGCCCCACGGATCAAGTCTGCGCAGACTGAGGATGATAAAAACAAATCTTTAAAAACAAAAGCAACAGGCAATCACTTCATAATACTTTTAAAGCCATGGCTCAGAATAGCGTATATCCAGTCTTCACTGTTTATCAGATGGAATTTGTATCCTCATAGCTCAAGTCAATGTTCCACTCCATACATGGCCTGTTGTGAGTTTAGTTACCTTTCTCCAGAGATTTGACATTGCGGCTGGTGAGGGTGATGCGGATGCGGTGAATGGCGACCTCAGTCTCAACGGGTGCCTTGCCAGTGTCCTTGAAAGCCTGCATGTGTGGAGACAAAAATGATATAAGCACTGAATCTGACACTGATAATGTTCATAGGATTTTAGATAACATGGGACTGCAGCAGAAGTTTGCAAGGACGACATATTGGTGGGTCCAGCAGAGTCGGTGGCGTAAGTACTGTCTTTTGTATTGGCCTACATCACCTGCATCTGTGTACAGTTTATCATTAAAAAAAACTGGACATATAAGATTCAGTTATTGAACATTATTTGTAATTTAGGGAGGTAAAACCACAATGACTATAAAATTTTGGCAACTGGTGTCAATCGTTCAGATTTGAAAACTGAAGATAGGTTTCCCCCACCCCCAAATAGTTTAGGGCTTTAAAACACAGATAGTGGATATTTACGTGCAGCACGTAAACGCAGCACCAGCTAACTAGCACGTGGGGGGCCTAATATTGACAAACTACGCTCTATCAAAGAAGTCAAATAAATGGCGCATAAACCGGCTAACGTCAGCTAATGTTGGACAACTGACGATCGTTGTCCCGGTGCTCGTCTTCAAAATATAGCAAATTACGACAACTACTGTCTGAGAGGAAATTATCCCGACATTCCATAAACTTCCAAAGTCATTCAATATTCGCGTCCGTCTGAACTTCTACAAATAACTCACGTTAGGGGACTTTATGCAAGACAAGTTCGTAGGAACAAGAGCAAACAAATGCTGCTGTTTCACTTGTAAGTATGCCGAATAATAAAGTTTATCATAACAAGTTGGGAAATGTGGTATTTCGTGTACTGATGGGCTTATTACTTCATGTATATATTCATTATTATTAAAGAGTCCATTTTGTGAATGATTCTTGGCGGGACATACAAGTATATCAACATAAGCAGTCGGAGCTAACGTTAGCCAACGGACTCCGAATAATTTCGGTGTCCAGATTAAGATATGAAATTACAAAATAACTACAAAATGGATTTCGCAAATAAGAAAAAGAGTTGTGTTTACACAACACATACCATTTTGATTATTCCTGACCGACTTATTCGGAAGAAATTCAAGCGAACAGCGGTGAGCCAGGAACGGGTGCCACCAACGTGGTTAGCTCCTGAGGAAAAGGGCGAGCAGAGGGCCGTTTCCTGAATATGTACTGTTCATCCGGGTTTCTGTTCTTCTTCGTGGGTGTTTTAAGATAACTTGTAACCAACAGCGGCCTCTAGTGGCTGCACTGTTGGATTTAATGCAGCATTGTAGTTGTTAACTGCGACCACTGAGGGGCAGGCTCATCTCTTTGGAACTGCCACTCTCCACCAGAATTTTATATTGACGCGCTTAAATATCTTTTCTTTGAAAGAAATTATAGCAAATATAAATGAATATTGTATTTCTGCTGGCCAATGGAAAAAGTGGAGCTGTAGCGTAGTTGCCAACCTCGTGAAAACTGACTCCATTGGTGCAATGACAAAAATAAAATAATATAAAATAAAATAAAATTAAATAAAATTAAATTAAATTAAATTAAATTAAATTAAATTAAATTAAATTAAATTAAGTTAAAAATGGCCACACACAAATTACGACCCTAAGACATCCGACAACAACAATGAAACAAATAAAATAGATCATGTTGC